TGCAGCTACAAAAATAAAACTGCATGAAGCACATCATCTTCTAGCAGTTTTCTTCATTCTCAGACTTCTAGTGGTTTTTTTTAACCTGGATGTTCCGGGCGGGATTCACTACACATCCTTTCTCCTTATAATGATCCAGAAGTCCTCTCCACAACACACTGCACCGCAGCAAGTTCTCATTACCTGTCAAAATAGCAGAATTATGGCACTGTAATTCAAGCATCAAATATAAAACTGTTGATAATTATAAAATACATATAAAAAAGGAGGTTTAGTGTTATTATAATAACATTTTATTAAAGAGGTCAAAAGATGCGATTTTAAGTTTTCCTTTCTCTTTGGAGTGTTACAAGCTGTTCGTGCATAGATAAGATCCCTAAAGTTGCAAAGACTAAAGTCTCAAACCCAAAGAGATTTTTTTGATAAAAGTTAAGACTGGTCCACGCCCTCCTAAAACACCTCGTTTAAACACGCCCCCACATTGCTGTAGTATTGTTGTTGCCGCCGCCGCCATGTCGTGAAGACGCTGTGTGTTTCGTTGTGAAAGCGAAACTACTGCGTTTGACCTTCTAAATGAGGACACAACTAGAAATCAGTGGTTAAGTTGTATTTACAACACTGTTCCAGAACACTTCAACCCAAATATTCAGATGTGTCCAGCGCATTTTACGGAGGACTGTTTCCTGAACCCGGAAGAGTTGTTTCTATAAAGTGGGGCAATTCCAACTTTGCAAGGACAGTCTGGCGCTTCTGACTCCCAGACTGCAAGTACGTATTTTATATTTAAAGAATTTGCCACTGACGATTCAAACGATTTTGAGCAGTGTAGAGTAGCACTTGTTGTTTGTCATTTCTCCGATCACAAATGCAGACATGGTTTTATGTTTACGCAGCGCGATACGCAACGCGATACACAACGCAACGCGTAAAAAGACAGTATAAGTCATTATAATCAGTAATTATGTCCCCACTGGATGCAAAAAATGCCTCGTTTATAATGGGTTTTAATGTTTATGAATCATCGCTCTGGCCTGACAGGGCATCATCACAATATGGTAAGGGACATAACATTTCCGTCACAGGCTTGAGGTATTC